AAATAATAATAATAATAATAATAATAATAATAATAATAATAATAATAGGAATATTGTGGAGGGAGGGAGGAAGAGTTGCACTATATGTTAACAATATACATTCCAGCTTATAAATAGAAATGAATGAATTTGGCAAAACTGTAGAAAACATCTGGGTTAAGTAGAGGAACAAATAAAACAGTCCTGTTGCTGATGTCCATTGTTGCTTTCCCAACCAAGAAGATGCATTGTAGCTGATGCTTTCCAAATGCAAACTGCAGATCTTTCAGAGAGGCATGACATCATAGATTTAAATTATCACGGTATCTGTTGGGGGATAAACTCTCCCAAGCATAGTTCTTCCAGAAAATTCCTCACTTGTCTTGCTAACAACTGTTACCTTCAGAAGTGGAGGAAGGCACAAGAGGTCAACTAGACTGGCATGCTATAAATCAACATGAAAGGTTTAGCTGGGGAAGTGGAAGTAGCAGGGACACTGGAGGAAAGTGACTACATAATGTTGGAGTTCTTGATTTTAAGGGAACCTAAAAAAGAATATAGATAAACACACAGGACTTCAAAAAAATGGATCTCAGAGTAGTAGAATTCCATGACTAAGAATCTAATAAAGGCTCAAGATGGGAATTCTAAAACAGAAGATATGAACAGTGCAGTTATAATCACTGCCAGTGAGGAAGGAAAACTGAGGATAGGAAAAGAAGCTTGTGGTTACACTAAAAGCTAAGTGAATGTCTGAAGACAAAAAAGAACTAACACAGGAAACAGCCGCGGCACAAAGGAAGAATATATACAGACAGGCTGGAGCTGGAGGGCAGTTGTCAGGAAAATGAAAACTCAGAATGATCTGAATTTATCAAAAGAAACTAAGAATAATAAAAGGGGCTTTTTAGATATGCTTAAAATAAAAGGAAAAGAAAAAAAATCAGTACAATAGCTGCTCAGTGGAAAAGACAAAACATGAACAGGTAGTGAAGAAAAGGCAGAGCTTGCAACTCTGATTTTGGTTAAATCTTATCTAATAAAAACCCAGGAAGATCTAAAGAGCAGGACGAAAGGGCAGGTTTAAAGCTTCAGACTGACACAAACATGATAAGAAAATACCTCTTCATTGTGAATCATTTTAAATGTTCAGAACCAGATGAATTATTTGGCTACTGAAGAAACTAGTTGATGGTCTGATGAAACCCCCTTAAAAAAAAAATAAAATTCTAAAGAATAAGTGAAATGCTAGGTTACAGAGAACAATAAACATCTTCTCTATCCTCAAAAAGTAAGAAGAAGTAAATTCAAGTAAGTTACAGACCTGTCAGACCAGACATTGAAAGCTAGGAAGATTCTAGAACAGATAATAGATTGCTCTGTATGAACTCTGAAAACAATGCAATAAGTATCTGACAACAGCATGGATTTGGCAAGAACAGATTTTGTTAATCAAATCATTTTTCTTAATTGACTACCCTCTTTAATAGATTGTGGGAATGCTTTGGATGCAATATAACTTGATTTCAGCAAAGTGTTCGAACCAAGTACTCCATGGCATGCTGATTAGCAAATTTGTTGTTGTTTTTAGAAGGCCTTCAGACACTAATTGCCTTTGCTCCCAAATAATACACCAGGAATGCTGCCTTGAATGTGGATTCTATTGATTCACTGTAAATTGTATTTACAGTAATTTTTTACAATTATTGTTGTAATTGTGTATGCTACAATGAGCCTGACAGAAATGACATAAATCTGTATACATGGATGGATGGATGGATGGATGGATGGATGGACTTTTGTGGTAAATTCTGGATTTCTCTTGGCAAAATGCTGTCCAAGGTAGTTAGGATTAGTTTGTTATTTTCTGAGATTCCCCCTCTCCCCACCACTGACATCTGCAAATATCCAAGGTTCTCAAGCCAAGCACTTTCTGATAGTCTCACAATCAAGTCCACTATTTGCATCCCATTTGTGGAATGTTTCCTCCTTAGTAGAAAATTAACTGTAGCTTTACCAGCTTTAAACAGGTCTTTAAACCCCTTTAGTTTGATTGTGCTTTAACTACCCTCCCATATTGAAGCCTTCTGGCTAGAGTACTCTAGGTATCATCAATAGAAAGGATTCCATAGTTTCTCTCTGTATATTCTTCAGTTTAATTCAGATGGCTTAATTCTGATTTTGGAGGTTTTGAGGGCAAGATAGTTTAACTAATGCACCTGGAGAAAATATCCACACCAAGACTGGGATCACCTGAGTTATGTGCATGTACAACTACCTTTTAGTCACTAGGAAATACAACTGGGACCATTGGTTCTTGGGCTGAAGAGGACAATGTGGCATGCTGTGTTTTTCCCTAAGTGAAAGAGAAGTCCAAGCTATTAGATTTGGTATGAGGCTTCTGCAAGGGCTCCCTAGATTACCCCATTCCAAATAGGTAGACCTCTTGAGGAGGAGGGGCTCCAGAAGCAGAGTCCATATCCTGGGAACCAGCCTCCAAGACAAGAAAACTTGGTCAGGCAGGAAAAGTGGCAGGAGGGACCCACCTGCTCAACAGTCCATTATACCACATGGCCCAATTTACATCTGCATTCTTTATATGGGATGGGAATGTTCTAGCAAGGTCATCATCAGTCTCAATTTCAATTACCATGCACCAGTGCAAAGACAACACCAAGGAATGGAAGGGAAGCAGTGGGGAATACAAAAGGAAATTCTGCAATCTCCATTGTATATTGCATTTGTATTACCTGCCACTAATAATGCAATATTTTAAAATCTAGACTAAAGGTATAATGGGGTCCCCTTTACAGAGTAAAACCAAATCTGAGTCCAGCTTGATTTTAGGTGACTTCACAGACCCATCCATGCAGTTTTCTTGGAAACATTTGGAAGTGGTTTGCCACTGCCTTCTTTCAGGATATTTTAAAAACATCCTAGTTCAGGAATTTCATGGTATTGGAATTTCATGGTAGATGCCCATCCAAGGCCCAATCCTGCTTAGATACCACTGGCTATAAATTTTAAAAAATGGTTATGACATCAGGTCTGGGGGTTCCAGAGGACCTGTGAGACCTTGAGGTGGCTCCTTTATTGCTGTTAACATCTATTCTTTTATGCCTTGTGATTTTTTAAAAAATGTTTAAATAAAGACTGTTTTGCTTTGTTTATTCTTTTTATAATTCTGTTGTAGGCCACCCAGAGTCACTCTTCATGAGATGGGCGGCCATATAAATTTTATATGGCCATATATATAAAAGAAGAAAGGAAACTGGCATTAAGGGAGCTCCAATGTGTAAACACACCAAAATTTTCATGAACAATTCCTACTTCTTTCAAAATTAGTGTTGCACATATCTCTTAGATGTAAATGAGGAGCTGTCCAAATGCTGACTGCCCCAACTCTTGTCAGGCCTAGGTCATGACACCAGCAGAATCCTAAAATCAAATCTCAAAACAAGCAACAGATGGGATATTGCAAAAATGACCAATCCAGTAAGATTTAATGGCTCTTATATGAGAATTCACAAGATTTCAAGCAAATATACCAACAAAATCACTGAAATTGTACAAGTCTTGGTGTATCTTGTGAGATTAGGGGGCCATTATTTCCTTTAAAGTTATGTTTCTTGGGCGCTCTGCCTCATTACACAAGATTGGGCTATGCTACCTAAAGACATTGCCAATGGGAACTGAGTTGGTGCTTGTGGGTTGAGGCAAAACAGGGTTGTCCTCTTTGCACTAATTTCTTTTCTACCCTTCCTCTGTGTGTGTGTGTGTGTGTGTGTGTGCGCGCGCGCACCTTCGAGTCAGTGTTGACTCCTGGTGACTACCTGGACAAATCCCTGCAGTTTTCTTGGCAAGATTTTCAGAAACAGTTTGCCTTGCCTCCTTCCTAGGCTGAGAGAGAGGGACTGCCCCAAGGTCCCCCTGCTGGCTTTGTGCCTCAGGCAGGACTAGAACTCCCGGTCTCTCCGTTTCTAGCCTGGTGCCTTAAGCACTGCACCCAACTGGCTCTCACCCTTCTGGGCAGCTCAGAAAAATAACAGAGGGATACCAGGCTTTGACTTTGCAATGGTGGATTCTTGCTCAGGTAACTAGAAAGGAAGGGACATAATGGGAGTTTAGACCTCCAGAAAAATCTAACCCTTGCTCAATTATTTAAAATGCCCCAGGAAAGAAATTAAATGCAAGTCAAAGATGTCTCTTCAAGAGGGGGGAAAAAAATAACAATAGGAGAGCCAGAAATAGCACCCTGCTGTTTCCCATTATGTTTCTGCCATTATGAGTCACCTGCCTCTCAGTTTTTGCATTGGGCTTCAGTGATGCAACAATCCTTTATATAAAACTGCCACCACCTGTTCCTCAGCACAGACAGGGAATAGTTCCAGGTGTTCCTGAACTCGATGTTTCTCTGCCGTGTTGCAGGCGAGACCCCATGCAGATCGCCTTGTTTGCTACGTCTATATCAGGCAGCCCTGAAAATGGCTGTTTTGTTTTTGGCTTTGCTTCTCGCAGAAAACCCCAGTGGTGCCTACTTCCATCCCGCAGGGAAAAAAACATATAGCCGTGACACTGCGTTTGTTTCAAAATTAAAGTCTTCATTCAAAATTAGAGTCTCATCGTTGGTGGGGCTCCAAACAGAGATGCACGCAGACGCCCTCCAGGCTGCCATGTGTCTGTACAAAAAGAGGGCAGGCGACCCCCACAAGGCTAGGACTTCACTCCTTTATGCAAAAGGCAGCAGACCGATGCACGAGGGAACCAAACTCTGCTTTCAGGTCAGATGTCCAGAGAGGCTACTTCTCCTTTTTTACCTTGGGCATTTGCTCTGTGCTGCTCCAACAAAGAACCAAAGAGCATCCTGATGAGCTCCAAGGGGCTCAGCAAGCTCCGTGGGGAAGTCTAAGTTGGCCTTAGGCTGAGAGAAAAAGTGAGAAAAGAAGAGGAGCTCAGCAAGATCTTCCCTGCTTGCATCTAGACTGAATTCCTGAGCAAAAGGCTCCTTCATCTGATTATCAGAACACAACATATTGGTGGGTCGCAGACAGAAGGAAGGTTGTGTTCTGCGCCTGCAACAGGCCATATGTCTCCAGACTCAAGCTACCTCAGATGGCCTAATGCAAGCATAAGGCCTTTGCGCGAGCACCAGGAGAAAGTTTGCTTAACTTGTCCAGTATGAAACCACTAAACACCCCAAATGCTTTTGAGGGCCATTTCTTCTTTCGTACCAACCCAGCCTGGAGAGCTAATCCCTATTCTGCCTCCCAACCCACCCCCCTGGTGCCAATATCTATTTTGGAATATACGGTTGCACTCTCAAACCCCTGGCAAGCACAAGCCTGAAAAACAGAACCGATGCTGCCTGTGGTACCTGGCCCTTTGTGCCTGCTGGCCTCATAGGAGCCCACACCCAGAAGGCTTAGGTAATTCCTAAGCTAGAGGAGGGAACCTCAGATAGCCTGTTTCAGTTCAGGAGCAGCCAAGATGGTTCCAGGAGCTGAGAAAGCACCAAAAATCCAGGTTACAGTGGTTGATCACCACCAGCTGATTCCACTGGAGAGTCCTGCACCAACAATGGTGTATCTGAGATAAATAAGAAAAAGAGGTGAGATGAGGGACAGATTGGTTCCCTGCAGTTCAAGCACCTGCAAAACCAGTTTCATAGTCAGACTACTCAAAACTGAGCAGAAGAAGAATTCCAACCACATGGAAATTTCTCAGTGAGAACAAGACTATTGCATCTACCGGAAGAGTTTACAAAGCAAACCTGGAAGAGACAGACAGTAAGTACTCGCACTGAACAATAGGTCAAGATTCTGGAGAATCCTGGTTTATGTGAATGACCACTTTACTCTTTCTTGCTAATACTTCTATTAAGCAAACCCAGAAGGGTTTGTTTAGCCTGTCATCTGAACTAGGGATCATGGCTTCTTCTTCCAAATAAGTCAGGATTCATAAACCAAGAGTAAATGCTAGTTGTAAATGGAGTGAGAAGTCAGGATCTTAAGTTCAGAGGCAGGCAACCTATGGACCACTTGATGTTCTATGCCTTTTGGCATGGCCCACTGTGATGTTGGCCTTCCCTCTTCCCCACCATTTGCTGCAAAGCCCAGTAATAATATAGTCCCCTCAGTGCAAAAGCTAAAGTATTTGTACTTTGTTTTGCAGCTTCTGTACTCTGAGCACAACGTGATTTCAGGGACTTGTGGCAAACCTTAACATGTTACGTCCGCCCCAACTATCGGTGCCTACTTCCCAATTCCTGCTAATACAGCAGCCACCACTTAGTTTCAGATCAAGTTGGGCATCTGGTTCAAAGGGAGACTATTCTCTCTTGCCCCAACCCTGCCACGTCCTGGATTAGATCTCAGGCAGGCCCAGTTCAAGGGCCTCCAGGCTCCAGTCGTGGGTGGCCAGACTTCCACGCAGTATTAGCTAAGGAGCCAAGTTACAAGGATTCTTCCAGACTCCTCAATCCACAAGCACATTGTGGTAGCATAGAAAAGGACACAGTCCAATTATTTCATACAGGGCAGGGGACAAGTTTATGTACCTACCAACTCACCGCCTTTCCCCTCCCAGGTCAATCTCATGCAGTTATCTGGTGGTGGCCCCTACCGACTGCTTCTTCAGTTATGGTGCCAGGGGGACTCCCAGACTGGGAGCCCTGCTGCCCCCAGTGCTGTGAGCAGAACACCACCATCTCCTCCAAGTTGCGCAGCACAGTCTCAGTGCCCTTGGGAGGCACCGGGGGGATCCGAGCTGGTTCCAGCACTCTGTAAGGGAAGACAGGCAGGAGGCACTAGCAAACCTTGCACTCTCCATGGTACAGCACTGTAATGGTGTGTGGAAATGACCTTGGGAGACAGGAGGGAGAGCCACAGATGGGACAACTAGTATGTAAAAGGTGTCTCAGCCCACAGAAGAAAAAGGGGTGTGGGAAGTACTTCAGAAGGGATCTTCCCTAGTTTTCCAAACGGTAAAAGGAAAGGAAGGGAGAAATACTTTCAGCCTTGCAAGATTCTGTTAATGTAACCTTTCAACAGAGATAGAGCTAGTACTCCCATGTGTGCTTCTTGTCTGGACTACCTCGCAAAGGTAACAAAAACTGACTTCGGATGATTCATGTGTACAGCTGCACTGCATGGAAAGCGGGCCATTATGCCAAATCCTGTGAACAGCAACATGATCAGCCCAGCGAGTCCAACCCCCACCTAGTGCAAGAACCTAAATTAAAACAGGGGGACAGAGGGCTGTCTAGTTTCCACTTGAATAAGTCTCCTGAACACCACCTCTCTGGGTAATTGGATCCACTGCGTTACTATTAGGAAGTTTTTTTTAACATTCATTTAGAATGTGCATATTTAAATCAATGCTTCCGCATCCTGCTGTCTGAGATGACAGAGGTCTCAATTTTCTTCTGCGTGACGTCCTTTAAAATATTTGATAATTGTGTTCATATTTTATTTATTTAATCAATTTCTATCCTGGGTCACGGTTGGAGCTGAAGTGAGCTGTTCAACACAGATGTTACCTGGAGTCCACTGACAGGGGATCAAGGAGTACGGTCAAGCTATAAACCTGCTATTTCAATTGAAGCTTCACCTCAATTCCCAAGTCCAGCCTTCTCCTGACCAGTAGCCTTTCCTTTGTGTCTGGATTGAATCTCACCTTCTTCTCTCATTCAGATCATTACTGAGCTTAGGCAGTGTTCAAGGCTGCTGACTGCTTTCTTGAGTTAGATCGATGTTTTTCAAACTTGGCAACTTTAAGATGTCTGGGGAATTCTGGGAGTTGAAGCCCACACATCTTAAAGTTGCCAAGTTTGAAAAACACTGAGATAGATGGCAGGAAGCACTAAAGCTTGGCGTCATCAGTACACTGATGACATCCCACTCCACAGCTCTGAAGGACTTCAATATTGCTCTTTCTTTTCTTTGCTATCTGTTAGATTTTGCTGTCTTCACTGAGTGACTGACATATTGATTCTTTTCTTTTATTCTTTGGAAGATATCTAAATAAGCTTTTTCAACTGTTCTTGGCATCCTTTGCCAATCACAGCTCGTTTTGAGTTTCAGCTTTCCTGAGCACCTTCTACACAGTTCCAGACTACCTCTCCATGGCCTCTCTCTCTCTTTACTCCTCTATAACAGTCCCTGCTTATTTTCAGATCTTCGCATGGATTTCTTTTGCTCTGCTCCATGCTTTTTTTTCAAATTGGAATCATTTGCAGTTGTGCTTTTTGACTCTCTTTTTTTTAGGAACACTAATCCACGTACTTTGAGCTCTTTTTCCCATTTGCTTCTCCTGTCACAAGAATAATTGCTCTGAATTCATTAAAATCCTCTTATTTTAAGCCCATGATATCCAGTCAATTACACTTAGCTTTCATTTCCATTAAAATAATAAAAGTCTAGCTAGCATGACATGGCCACTTTTCCCCAATATTTCTGCTGTTTCCACTTTGACTAAGTCTTCCATATTGGTTAATATCAAGTCAAGACTGCCCTCTAACCTTTTGAAGGAAAAAGTTGTCAGTAAGACAAGTCATGAATTTCCTGGAAGGACCATACTTCAATTTGTTTCCTAGCAGATGTTAGGATAATTAAAATTTGAAGAATTTACATTTGCTTTTTGAAAAGCATCATCCAATACGCTTACATGATGTAAGTCTCTATCTTGCAAAAATCATCCTTCTTAATAAAAAACAAGTAAATAACAATGTGCCCTTCTCTTGCAAAACCCAACCAAATCAAAATAATTAGGAATATAAAGTCTCCTATTGACTAAATCAGAGACAAGGATAATTAAAATTTCAAATGACAGGTAGTCCTCGCTTAATGATGGCAATTGGGATTTCCATCGCTAAGCGATGCGGTTGTCAAGTGTGACGTCACATGACTGCATCACTTAGCAATGGCAATCCCGGCAATCCCTGCTGCCATTGTTAAATGAGCATTGTGGGTCGTTAAGTGAGGACCTCCTTGCAACTTCCTGCCAGCTTCCAATAACCAAAGTCAGCGGGGAAGCTGGCAGAAGTTGCAAATCCCAGGCGGATCGCAAGTGGGCTGGCTGGTAGATAAGTGGCATGCGCAAATGATTTTGGGTCCAGGGGTGGCTGCTGCCAGGTGGGGGAGGGTGTGCAGGTGGCTGCAGCAGCATGCGTGAGAGATTTTGAGCCCGGAAGTGGCTGCTGCCAAGTGGGGGAGACTTGTGCAACTTGTGACCTTCCCTGCTGGCTTCCCCATTAACTTTGCTCGTGGGAAGCCAGCAGGGAAGGTCACAAATGGTGATCACATGTAATGGTATGTGGGAATGACCTTGGGAGACATGGGGAAGAGATGCTGACTAAGGAATGATCCGATAAGAGGGGGCATAGCCTACAGCTGCATAATGGGTAGAGAAATAAATTCAGAAAGGAACCTCCCTAACTTATCAGGCTGGCAAAAGAGATGGTGGGAGATTTGTACTTTCAGACTTGCAAGATTCTCTTAATGTAGCCTCACAATAAAGTAGAATTAGCTCATCTGGTTGTGGTTCCTGTCTGGTCTACTTGGGAAGGCTGATATCATGTAAATGTGAGCCAGGTGCCAAGTGCCCAGATTGCAATCACATGACTACAGGGGTTGTGCAATGGCTGGAACTCCAAGGACTGGCCATAAGTACCACTCATTCAGCACTGTTCAACTTCGAACGGTCACTTAATGAGTAGTCAGTAAACGAGCACTACCTATAGCAAATGTGAAGTTCAGACAGTTACAAGTATGACCTTTCAGTTCACAGAGCCTTGTGTTTTGTCAAATCAAATACAATTTCCTCTCCTAACTTAGAACTGGCTTTAACAGGGTCTATCCACATTACTAATCAGCTTCTGAGTTCTTTCCCAAGCAAACCCCCTGTCCATTTAAGGAAAGGGGGTAACCAGGAAGAGGGAGAACTTGACAAAGAAGTCTGGCAGGTCTAATGCTTAGTGGAAAACCCTCTATTGTCTCTACTGAGATATACCTGCTATCAATTACTTTTGCTGAAGTATACCTGCCATGAGTTACCCCACATTCAATATTTTGTTCCTTGCTTTATTTTTTGCCTGGGGACAGTGGAGAGCAGTTGAAAAGAGGCAATATGCTTAACTCCATAGGTTTATTTCCAAAATATCATGGCAAAACTAAAAAAAGATCCACCCACTGCCTCAAGGACTCTCTGGGAAAGTTAACTAATCCTAAAATAAACCTTGGGGAGCATCTGGCTGCTTACCTGTCTGAGGAAATTATGCCTGTGTGGCTCATAGAACGTCTTACCTGAAGGATGGAGAAAAAACATACGATGGTAAGGACATAAACACAAGGTAACACCCTGCTACTCTGATTGGCAAGTGCAGGGATAGGTACAACTTCACAAACACAAATCATTTGGGGGATAGCCACTGTAGATGTACACCCACACACCCAGATTTTTAAAATTATTAATCTATTTTGACTTTTTTTTTATCTAGCTGCATGGTCTCTGGAAAAACAGTCTCTCTTTAGTTCATTAGAAGTTTTAAGAGCTTAATCTCACAGATGGCATGTTTTAAACCATATGCCTCAGCTGATGTACTTTCCCAAGTTGGTGACCTCCAGGGAATCTTATCCCCAGCCGCTGGTGCAAGCCAGATCAGTGATACAGTGGTACCTCGGGATACGAACTTAATGCGTTCTGTGACTCTGGGCGTATCCCGAGTTGGTCGTAACCCGACGCAAATTTCCCCATAGGGTCCAATGTAAATCTGGTTAATCCGTTCCATCCTCCGAATTTGGTCACAACCCAAAGCAAATTTTCCCATAAGGTTCAATGTAATTACCATTAATCCGTTCTGGTGTCCGCAGACCACGCATCAGGGGCGGGAGAACAGCCGGGCGCCACGCAGCGTGGCGGGACAACAGCCAGGCATGGTGCGGCGCGGCGGGAGAACAGCCGGGCGCCACGC